TAGATTTTTTTTTTCTTTTTTTGGTTTGTGGGGACGGGGGAGATCTCTAGATCTGCAACCAAGTACCAGAAAGCCCCAATGGCAAGCGAACCCCAGACACCACTTAGGCAATTCACTGGGCAGGAAGAGAACCACAAGTCCTGCCAGAGGATCCACCCCCGTTCCCTCCCTGTACAGGTTGGCCTTCAGCATGTAACTGCTGAAAAAAGTAACGAACAGTGCTACAGGCCACAGCTCAACTTTTAAAATGATCCCCGTATTTCTCCACCATCTTCGGCCTTGAATCACTCTGACAAGGGCAGGAGAGAAAGGAGCCACTGCCGGCCATGGCTGACCCTCCCTGCCAGTGAAGAGCTGGAGACGGTTTTGGTGACAGCGCTCCTGGGTAGCAAGGACCGACCGGGAAGATTACACAAGAAACATCCGCATTTCACAAGCCTTGAATCTTTTGGCTTGCCAAGGACTGTCATTACACACTGATCTCTGCTCAAGGGGGGAAAGAGATCTTCCTGACCATAAATCTTTCACAAAGCAGGTGCCGCACTTGCCCCTGGGGTGACAGCCATGCTCTCCAAGACTCGGAGAGCACGCCCAGAATTTACTCGGCGGTGCAGAAAGGGCCGCTGCCAGGTTTCTCTGCGGCGAGAAACGGCCCACCGGAGTCTGCAGCGTCCCAAAGTCCTCCGCCAACGGACACGGAGTCTGCCGGTGGGAGCGGCCAGCTGGGCAGCCCAGAAGCACCATCACGGGCCAAGGATACTGCAGGCAGAAGGCAGGGAGGTAGCTTGTCGGGGGCATGGCCCAGTTTCATGACAGCTCATGGGCTCCTACTACAGGATTTGGGGGGTGGGGTCGCTATCGGTCAGAGTGTAGGTTAGGGAGCTCACTGGGCCCAGGCACAGGTGCGAGGAGGCTGGAGAGAGGCCATGTCACTGAAAGGACAGCAGGGGATAGCAGATTTGAGAAACATTTGGGACAGAAAGGGCTTGTCGTTCAATTGGAGGAGGAAGCATCCAGAGGACCCCTAAGTCTCTGACATGGGAGCGGGAAGCACAGGAATGCTGCCCCTGCAGGGGCGGGGGAGGGGGACACAAGAAAAACAACGGGTACAAGTGAGGAGACAGAGAAGCCCAGCAGACACTGAGACGCGCACGGTTGTGTGCACGGGAATGGATTTGTGGGTCTGGGGCTCACAAAGAGGTCCAGGTTGGAGATGATATTTGCAGGCCAGGTGCAGACAGAAGGATGCGGAAGCACCAGAAGGGACATCCTGGGAGAACAAGGACAGTGAAAGGGGGCCTAGGATGGAAGACTGGAGACCGCCAGGTATCAAAGACTCAACCAAGGAAAAGGAGCCAGCGAAGAAACAGCTGTAGGGACAGGGAGAGAAGGGCTAGCCGCGGGCAGGGGAGGAGGGCTCACCAGCGCCGAATGTCAGGGATACCGGTTACATTTTTACTGCAAGGAAAATGCTGTACACAACTTTTTTAAGGGTCAGTCACTTTTTAGGAGTTAACTCAAGCCTCAATAAAACCACCCCTCCAGGGGCGCCTGGGTGGCTCAGTCGGTGAAGCGTCTGCCTTCAGCTCGGATCATGATTCCGGGGTCCTGGGATAGAGCCCCGCATTGGGGTCCTTGCTCAGGAGGGAATCTGCTCCTCCCTCTCCCTCTGCCCCTCTGCCCTGCTCATGCTCTCTAATTTAAATAAATAAACAAAACCATCCCTCCAAGTCATAAGACAACAGAGAAATACGAAGTGTACAGGGAACCCATAAAGTCATCATTTCCTTAATGGGTCTATGAAGCTGCGCCACCACACAGTCATGATAGAAAAGAAGGAGTTTAAGGGAGAGCGTCAAGTAAAAACTGCATAGCGGCACTCCATAATTGAGTGTTTCTCCGTTATGTCAAAAATTTCACACACATCCTTGATCTGACGTAGCTCTCCAGATGCTCTCCCTCCTTCCGTAGGCAGCCCTGTGAAGAACAACTGAATGGGATTCTTCCACACTTCATCATTTTAAATGGCCACCTTAATGCTCATGTGCCCTTCACCTGGCTCCTTGAACAGTTCATCAGCATCCTGCTGGAGAGGGATAGGAACATCACAGTACTGCAGTGCTCAGAGAGAGACATAATGGGGAGGAGAATGCATGGCCATAGGGGGAGTACTCTAAAGAGAATGTGAGCCCCACCTGTAATTTCAAATGCTCTAGTAGCCGCATGAAAAAAAAGAAACAGGTGAGGGGCGCATGGGTGGCTCAGTCAGTTAAGCGGCTGCCTTCTGCTCAGGTCATGATCCCAGGGTCCTGGGATCTAGTCCCACATCGGGCTCCTTGCTCAGTGGGGAGCCTGAGTCTCCCTCTCCCTCTGCCTGCCGCTCGGCCTACTTGTGCTCTGTCAAATAAAAAAAAAAAAAAAAAATCTTAAAAAAAAAAACAGGTGAAATTAATTTAATAACAGTTTACTTAACCTAGTAGGTCCAAATAATTATCATTTCAAGACAGAGTCAATATACGAACTATTAAGGAGATACCTTATTTCTTCTCCCCTCCTACTACTTCTTTGAAATCCAGTGTATTTTGCACTTAAAGCGAACCTCAATTTGCACCAGACCACAGTTCAAGCATGCAGTAAGCCACATGTGGCTAGTGGCTGCCACACCAGCCAGCTCAAGTCTAAAGGGACTCGATGTAAAGGGAGAGTTCCAATTCAATGGGAAAATCTCTAAGAAACCTGCCCATGCTGGAGTTTTCCTGAAACTCCGAGATGAAGGGACGACAGTTTCCTTGAATGCTGTTCGTAATTTTCAATAAATACTCCCTTGTAAAATCTCAGAAAAACGTCAGCAGGGCTGAGACAACTGGCAGGGGAGAAGGCTGCAGGGTGTGGCCTTGGGGAAGCAGGTGTCCAGCCAACAGGCCTGTCCGCATCAGCCATACCAGCACCAAGGCCCAGTTTCTAATAACCCTTTCTTCTGGGTTTTTTTCCTTTTTTTTCCTGTTTCTTCTGGTGTTTTTCCTTTTTTTTTTTTTTTTTTAATACTCCAAGAGCCCTCTGAGAAAGGCAGGATCTCTCCCAGATGAAGAAACAGAGGGCCAGACAATTTAAATTACTTGCTCATTCCTGGTCGCAGCTACCAGACCTGGACTCAGAACCCAGGTCTCTCCCCTGCTCCCGGCTTCTTCAACAACCAGCTGGTCAGAAACAGCCAAAAATCCACAGTGAGGCCAAAGTAAATATCATCTGAATCACTGAACAAGTGGCCACCTAATGACATTTTAAATAACACCTCCCTTTTGTATAGAGCTTATGAGTTTCCAAAGCGTTTTGTGCACACGTTTGGTTGCCACTAAGGAATGATATGGGACTGCCCAAAGGAACATTCTAAAGGTGCCCAACTCCGGCCCAGAAGGACTGGCTGGTCCAAGGTCACCCAGGCCACTTAATACCGCATCCAACATCTTCCTTCCCACTACACACAATGCCTCCCCGATGACGCCATTTTCTTTTAAAATAAAATTTTAAAATGTCAAGACTACTTAAAAAAGGTATTTTTGTTGTTTTCTCAAAACCAGTGGGTAACCTAATGATACGGTACAGTTTTAATCAATCACAAATGGGACTTTAGTACAGCACCTTCCTCCAACCCGAGCCAACAGGGACTCTTCGAGAGGCCTGAGGGCGTTCTTGGACATCCAACATCCTGGTTACAGCCAACGAGGAGACCCCTTCCCCTATTAATCAAATATTCACGGACACACCCGTGGAATGATAGCATAAAAGTGTGTGCTGGGTCAAAGAAACCATCCTTTTCCCGGCTTCCACCCTGGTTGGACAGAAAGAACAGCTACCTGTGGGGTCTGGCCTTTGATTTGTTTATTTTATACACTTCATGGTTTAGGCAAGCCTACCAATTTGGGATTCCTTGGCTCTTCATGACTAGCTAGAATACATGAGCTCCTTGGGTCTTTAACTGGGCCAACCATTAAATAATAGCTATTTATAGCTACCACACTGACTTCTAAACCAGGGAGAAGAACCTTCCTGGCCGACATACCTAAATGTTGCTGAAAGCAACACGGCAAAGGCCCAGGCTTGCCTTTTAATACCAAACAACCTCGGTCTCCAGGTAATTGATCACAATAATTCAAGAGTTTGGTTATACTCAAGAGAAAAATAAGCCTGTTGCCGATAAATAAGCAGCTTCAAAACATCATCCCGGACCCTGGAGAGCAGTGAACACATTTCAAAATTCTTTCACTAGGCGATTTCAGGAGATCTGGACAACTCTTTGGAGGAAAAAGGTAGAAAAAAAGGAAATGGAAGCCCGGGTGTAAAAGTGCACCCACTACATAGCTACTTGCAAGTACAGCCTGATTCGGGGATTCCTGGAAACCCGGCCAGGTCTCTCCCACCTTGGCGAGGTGCTCCATCATAAACCGGCACACCTAAGCATCATGACCATCCCTGGGGACCAAGGATGGGGTGCAAAGTCCCCACTTTCACAGCATGTGATCGAATTTTGACTTTCCCTTAATGCAACCGTATTCCAAGTAGGTTCATATTAAGGAAGTCCCACCATACCAGAAAAACATCTTTTCCCGCAAAGGATGAACGAGTCGATACGTAAGCAGCCCCTGACTGCTGGGACTGAGGCACCTCCAAAGCACACCAGGTCAGCTTTCTCATCAGAATCCAAAGCTCAAGGGCAGCAAACTCCTGACCCAGAGAGGTGGTGGATTATTTCTAGGACACGACGTGGAGGCTCTTGATGGCAGCCACGCCTCAGTCCTGCATTCCCTGAGTTCCCCGGATGCAAAAGGAAGCCAACCAAGACCCCCGCTGCAGCCCGCGGGTGGCCTCACCCTCAGCGCAACACAACCACACCCTCCCAGCAGAACCCCCAGCGGAAGCGCGCGTTCGGAAGAGGAGGGGGGGCGAGGGAGAGCAGGAGGGGAAAGAGCAGCAGAAGGAAGCCCCAACAGCGTCATCCTTACTTTTCTGGCAACGGTTTGTAGTCCAGCAACGATAGTTGTACTCATTGTTGATGGTTGTCTTCTCGCACAAGGGCTTCTCCTCCATTGTCCCCGGACACAGGTCCCCGCATTCCTTTGGGGGTTTGTTGCCCACGATGTAGTTATTGGACACGGCATCCAGGATCAGGGACCAGTCCACCGTGGAGAGGTAACAGAGGTCAGCATTCTTCTCAATCCTGATGGCCCCCCGAGTAATGTTCCTCAGATTGTAAAGCCCAATATCCTTGAGATTGGTCATCTCAAAGATGACCAGGGCGTAGTTGTAGAAGAGCTTCCAGCCGCGGATGACCGTGAGGTTCGGGAAGAGGTCCCCGAGGCTCTCGAGGCCGGCCACGCGGAACAGCAGCAGGTACTCGGTGATGACCGTGAGCTTGGGGAAGCGGTAGCTGCGGTAGTCCTCTGCCTTGGAGATGAGCAGGATGTGGAGGTAGCCCTCGATCACCGTGCAGTTCTCCAGACGCTTCAGCTGCTGATAGTCGTTGCGGATGTCGATGCCCGGCCCACAGACTGAGGGGAGACAAGAGGGCAAGGGCGGGACATGTCTGAGTTACAAGGAAATCGTTTTTAGAACTATTTCCCAACCCACAATATGGCCAGTTTTCAGGACACCTATAGTATTATGATGAAGGAAAGAAGACTCCGTTCTTCGCTGCAGACTAACGTTAGGTATTTAGGCTGTCAGGTGCCATTCACGAAGTGTCCACACTGGGCCAGACATCGTGAAACACACTCAGTGACCACAGGAGATGTCATCCCCATCCTACTTATGTGTAAACCACAGCTTAGAGCCCAGGGTCACACAGGAGCACGGACGGAGTCAAGGTTACACAGTCAAGGCTCCACAGCTGCCAGGATGCAAACTCCCCATGCCTCCTGCACAGCCCCGGTGCCCAAGTCTGAACCAACAGCTCAGCAGCCAAGACACAACAACTTACTACTGCATCCAGCCTCAAGGACACCAAGCAATAACGTCTACACTGGAGAACAGTCACCGTGACTTACAAAGTAGAGACCCAAAGAAGCAAGTTCTCACGTTTCTCGCTACCATCTGACACGGGCCAGGTGGCCTTGTGTTCTTCCCTAAAACGGTATGAATATAGATACAAAGCCTAATTTAACAGAAAGACAAGAATGTGTGATTTCTATGAATAAAAGAGGTATGCCATCTCAACTTCGATAAAATATTTTATTAAGAAAACAAGCTTCCTATAGAAAGGTTCGGTAAAAGATAGCAAAAAAAGACAGTAAAAATAATCAATATCTCAGCATCCAAAGATAATCACTATTGGGGCACCTGGGTGGCTCAGTTGGTTAAGCGACTGCCTTCGGCTCAGGTCATGATCCTGGAGTCCCGGGATCGAGTCCCACATCAGGCTCCCTGCTCGGCAGGGAGTCTGCTTCTCCCTCTGACCCTCCTCCCTCTCGTGCTGTCTCTCATTCTCTCTCTCGCAAATAAAAAATAATAATAATAAAATAAATAAATAAGATAATCACTATTAACAGTGTCTGTACCACTGATCCTTTCTCTAGAAGTAATTTAATTAAGGTAAAGGAAGTCAGACAAGAATATCTTCCTGCACTTAATATAAATATTTTACCAAGTCAATAAATGTCCTTCTATGTTACCACTTTAAGGAGATCGTAATTCTAGGGTACGAATATCCACCATGAGTTCTCTTATTTTTTTTTTTAATTTTTTTTATTTGAGAGAGGGAGAGAGAGCATGAGCAGGAGGAGGAGCAGAGGGAGAAGGGGAGGGAGATCATCTCCGGCTGACTCCGCACTTAGTGCAGAGTCCAACGCGGGGCTCGATCCCATGACCCAGAGATCATGACCTGAGCCGAAACCAAGAGTCAGACGCTCAACGACTGAACCACCCAGGCGCCCCTAGTTCTTTTATTTTTTTAAACCAGTCCCCTATCGTTGGATATTTAGTTTTTCACATCATAAACACCACTCCAGTGAACATTCTCGGCAAATATCCAAGACTATTTTCTTGGGATAAATCTCTAGAAGTAGAATTGCTGGACCAAGGCATCTGCAGATTTGAAGAGCTTTTGATACAACAGGCTCAATACTGGAAATTTTATTTTTTAAAATACTAGACATGTCCACAGACACAAACCTTGGTTAATATCCTTTCTTACGATTTAATAATCTCAAGCCTTCCATTAAAACTTCTCAGAGTCAAGTTTTCTGATTGATGTAATTCATTAATTTCTGGAGCACGCAACATGTATGATGCTGTAAGAGATGCAAAGACGCCAGGTCTGCCCTCTGAAGAGGCTCGTGGTGAAGGCCAGGAGCTAAGACCCATGACAAACAATCTCCGTATGAGGCAGAAGGTGGTCAGTGCACACTGAAAATCCACTCTAGATGTGAATGGAACTAAGCAGGACAGACAGGGGGTAGCCTTGGAGATTCCTGCAGAGAGAAGGTCCTTTCTATTGCAGCGCCCAGGAAAGCTCTACGCGTGCCCTGGCTCCTGTAAGATGGGTGGGATTTAAAACTTGGGTATTAAGGGGCCCCTGGGTGGCTCAGTTGGTTAAGCATCTGCCTTCAGCTCAGGTCATGATCCCTGGGTCCTGGGATCAAGCCCCGCATCGGGCTCCCTGCTCAGCAGGAAGTCTGCTTCTCCTTCCAACCCTCCCCCCTCTCGTGCTCTCTCTTACACTCTGTCTCAAATAAATAAATAAATAAATATCATTAAAAAAAATAAAACTGGGTATTAACATTCCAGAGGCCAGAGGAAAGGGAGAACAAGATATATTCGAGGGACAGCAATGCTGATGGCCAGGGATGTAGAGAAGAGCAGAGGAAATGAGTTTGGTAGAGTCCAAGTCATAAAAGGTCACAGGTGGGGAAGGAAACTTTCATCTCAGGAATAAGCCCCCTCTCAAGACTCTTGAGTGCGAGAGAAGTCCAAGGGAGGCCTTTTTTGGAGGAATATTCTGGTATATAAGACAATATAAGACAGAATCAAAGTGGAGCAGGTAGGAAAAAGGGGAGAAAGGTCCAGCAGGGCTTAGAGCCATCGACAAGAAATGGACAGAGAATGGCAGGCAGGGGATGGGGTCCGGGGAACCCAAGAGCTGAGGAGCGGGCCAGGCTTGAGAACCTAAAACCTGAAACCTCATTTGGTCCAATTCCCTTCTTTTACTGGTAAGAAAATGAAGCCTCTACAACAGAGAAGAGAATGGAAGAAACCGGCACTCTTAAGAAGCTCTGAGAACATTCCATGCCGGACAAAGGCTGTGAAGGAAGCTTTGTTTCATTTTGTTTCACCTCATGTGATGCTTTCAATAGTACCTCACACTACGTAATATCATCGCCACTTTGAAGGTGAGAAAGCAGATTTGGAGAAGTCAAGCCATCCTTCACAGTAAAACTTGACACATGGTTTCTGGATAGTCCCAGCTCTTGGCATCCTCACCAACTGGTTACCTCCAAACCACTCCAATGACGCTTCTGCCCCAATCATGATACCGAACCACTCTTTGCAAAGCCCCTGATAACATTATCCAAGCCAATGACCAGTCCCTGTCCTCATGTGACTTGACCCTTTCAGCCACTTGACATTGCCTCCTTCTCGAGGCCTCTCTGATTCCACACACCCACTTGTCCCTCTTCTCCTACCTGACCTCTAAATGCTGACCTCTGGCCTCAGCCTCCCCCTCTCGGTCCTCTCATGTGGACAAGTGCCACCCATACCCTGGATGATTGTCAAACGCATGTCATTGGCAGCTCTAGAGTTGCACATCCGTCTGCCTACTCAACATCTCCATTTAGGTGTCTATAACTCACTCTCTTCCCCCCACAAAATCCACCTCCTGCGCTTGGTCGGTGACCCTCCCATTCTCTGAATTGCACGTGTCGAAAATCAAAGGGTCATTCCTGATTGTCGTCTCCCCTTACACTGCACATACCCAGTCGTCTTGGGCCTTGTGCTAACCGCAGTGTCAGACAGAGAGGAACACGCTTTATGTTCTCACTTACACGTAGAATTGAAAAAAGCCAAATGCATAGAAAGATGAGTTAGAATGGTAGTTGTCAGGGGCTGGGAGGTGGGGGAAATGGGGAGGTGTTGGTCAAAGGGTACAAACTCTTAGCTCGAAGATAAATAAGATCTAGGGATCTAAGGCACAGCGTGGTGACTAGAATTGACAATACGGTATTCTTGGAAGTTGTTAGAGTAGTAGATCTTAAATGTTATCTCCACACACACACAAATTATACTGATGTAAGAGGATGGAGGTGTTAACGAACTTTATTGTGGTAATCATTTTGCAAAGCATACATGTATCTAATCATCACATTGTACACCTTAAACTTAAATACATAAACGCTAATAATATCTCAGAAAAGCTGAAAAAAGAGTCCTCTTGGCTCCAGCTTCCAAGCCTGTGGGGAGCTCCCCTGGGGGAGCTGACGCCCCACTTCTTCAGGTCACTGTTCCCCAACCGGCCCGTTCACTTCCCTCCCAGTGCATGTCTGCCCTCCTCTGGCCCTCTTCTCAGCCCGGGGTCTTTCCCTCTGGTCTCTCCCCCTGCAGTGTCGGCTCCAGGAGGAGGGAGAATTACTGTCAATCTCCCCCACAAAGATGCCCCCAGGGCCTGAAGCAGTACTTGGTGCCTGGTGCGCACACCATTAATTCACATGTAGAATGAATGGATTGCACCACAATCTCTACTGCTCGAACCCTGACCTGAGCCACTGTCATCTTTAGCCTCGTCTACAGCAACACCTTCCCCATGGTCCAGCCTCTGTCCCCCAGTCCGTCCCTGACCCAGCACCACTCCAAAGGGGCTCATCCCCACCAACTTCTACCTCAGCTGCTAGAATGTTCTTGCTTCGCACACTGCGGCCCCCAAGCGCCTTCTCTCCTCATTCCCCTGCTGTCTGGGGTGGTTTCCCCAGTCACATGGATGCCCCCCATTCTCATCCCGTGGCTCTGCATTCTGTCACCTCATCAGAGCTTTGAGAGTTCCCCTCAGCTGCACCCCCCCATCTCCCTATTTTACCATTTTCATAGCACTTTTCATGTGTGAAAAGTGTCAGGACCTGAAAGGATATATGAGTTGAATGATCACTGTCTATTACCCTCACTGAAATCAGAGGCTCTGTATTGTTTGTTTTCTGCCTGTCTCTCATGCCGAACATCCGGGCATACAGCAGCTTCCGTAAAGACGTGCTGCCTGACTGGGGCCAAGGTGAGCCTAAGGTGGAATGGAGAGAATAAAGCATCTATCAGATATTTGCCACCAGAGTACTCTCAAAACCAAGAAATATCACCCAATGATGGCTTCAGGTCAGTGACTCATTGTGGAAGTCTCTTTTGCTTTTGTACTATTCATGTTTTCCTAGGCCCAGCCTAAAGTTTTATATTCCTGCTGTGTCATCAGAAATTAAGTATATTAGTTTGCTCTTAAATGATAAACAGAAGTTTTCTACAGAGGATCACTTGGATGCAATCTCTTATTGCATCCAATGTGTGTTTGATCATATTGTAAGGCATTAGGGCAACAAACTGTTTGCTATCCTTTCCCACAGACCAGAAAATTCAATACCCAGTGAAAGAGCAAGAAGACTCATAACCAAAGTTTGCCAAACTTTTATACTGTAATCAAAACAGACACTAGGAAAGAATCGGCTGTCCTCTGTCTCCCGCACCCCAGCCTGTGCAGACCACTCAGTTAACAAGCCACAGAGCTGGAATGGATGGATTCTTCAAGTGAAAGAACTGCCTCCACACTGGACACTTTCCCCCATTCAGAGAAGAAAAGAAAAAAAAAAGTAGGAAGAAACTAACCACTTATTCCTGAAGAGAAGACAAGCCCAAGCCACAAAGTGCGAGGCAGGACCCGGCCACCAGCTGTTTTGGATTCTGTAAGTGATACCGTCGGCCTTTGGGGTATTTTGTGATAGGAACAGAAAAAGGAAAACCCAGCTGGACCAGGAATGATAACATAGTGTTCAAAAGGCACAAGCCACAAACAGGAAAGAGAATACAACATGCTTCATCGGTGCCGTGAAATAATACAAGCACTGAGGGAGTAAATATTCCACACAGCGCATGAAAGAGAGACACGCCCTTGCTACTACTCAGTGATGATTAAAAGGAAATTGCAAAACACTGTTTTTCCCTTTTCAAAGCAACAGATACCCAAAAAACTCGACTTTAAGAAAGTCGAGTCTCTGTCATCTTTAGCCTCGTCTACAGCAACACCTTCCCCATGGTCCAGCCTCTGTCCCCCAGTCCGTCCCTAGGTGGCTCAGTCGGTTAAGCGTCTGCCTTCGGCTCAGGTCATGGTCCCAGGGCCCTGGGATCGAGCCCCACAGATCTCTGGAATGTGAGATTTCAGGCTGGCCCTTAAAGAATCATTGAAGCTTATGGAAATGAAGGCCAACGGGAAGCAGAAGGAAAGAACACAGTGGAAGGTAGGCACAGCGGGTCTGGGCAGCAGGCCCAAAACCACTGAACAGCAACAGCAGGACCAAAACAGATGGAGGACCACCAGTGTGGGAGCAGAGGGCCCGGGAAGGGATGAGGATGGGAGGGGCAGGGTGGCCTGGTACCCAAGCCCAGCCCCATTGGAGGCAGGCAGGCAGGTGAGGGCCTGGGAGGTAGAAATCACTTCCCCCAGAAAGGAGAACCCTCCTACACTGTTGGTGGGAATGCAAGCTGGTGCAACCACTCTGGAAAACAGTATGGAGGTTTCTAAAAAAGTTGAAAATAGAGCTACCCTACGACCCAGCAACTGCACTACTGGGTATTTACCCCAAAGATACAAATGTAGGGATCCGAAGGGGTACATGCACCCCAATGTTTATAGTAGCAATGTCCACAATAGCCAAACTATGGGAAGAGCCAAGATGTACATCGACAGATGAATGGATAAAGAAGATGTGGTATATATATACAATGGAATATTATGCAGCCATCAAAAGGAATGAGATCTTGCCAT